GTGGACGTAGCTGAGTGGAGCAGGAGCATGGAAAGTGCGACGAAATGGCTTTGGCAATTGTATGTCGACTTTTCAGTGTAGTTCTGAGGTTTATCTTTTTTGCAAACAGAATGAAAAGTCCCTAGTTTCAAGATTCGTGTTATATATGTTATGTCGGATTTTATTCCTGCAATTCTGTAAGAATACAGATTACAAAAATATAACAATAACGTAGGATGGCATTGACATTCCGTCCCATGATGTAAAGAACTTCTACACGGATATATTATTCATCCAAAACCACTTGAACTCAGTATTGACTTGTAGTTAAATTTCTCCTTGCGCTCGTAGCACAGCGGCTGCTAATACCAAGCCTTGCCCGCGCCAGCTCTCAGCGCGTGTCACCCTAAAGGCCAAGGGAGCTGCCCGGCCCAGAGGAAGGGCTTCGTTAGTGATGCTCGACGCGGCCGCGAGGTCTCGGGCCCCTCGCGCCCTCCGCCGCCGGGGCTCTTTCACGCGCCGTCTGATCGAAAGGCCTTCGACGACCTCTTTGGTCTTAATCATGGCGTGATCGCGGTAATCCAGTAATCTAGAAGGAATCATGTTATACCAAATAAACTCAAGGTAAGCTGCGTTCTATGATCGTCTATCTTAATCTTAGGTATGTGGCTGAGATTCCCCACATTTCTAATGAATCTGCTATTCACGAGATCTGCACAGAAGCCACTTAGTCGGGTCGTCCCCCTGAATCTATTTCTACACCCTTCTTCGACCTTTAACCATATCCATTTAACTTCACGATCTCAGTCGTCCCTTTGTCTGCGAATTCTTAAGTGGTGGTCTGGCGCCGCTTTTAGCCGTTCGACGTCAATGCCGACTTTACCGGGTTCCCGATGGCAACCACAAGATGGCGCCGTAATAGCTATGCTGCATTAACCAAGAACCGCAGAGGCAAGGGCCCCTAGTTGTACCCTGTTAGGACAAAATGCCAAGCAACATGAAGAAAGGACTATCATGGTATTTTTCGACGGGCGAAGGGAAAGCTGGGAGGGCGACACAAGCGGTATGCGCTGTATACTGTCACGCACCTTGCACGTCGTCAGTAATTACTGAGGGGATAGATCTGGCACCTTGGGAATGTCTCTACAGATTATACAGATTAGAGATAACGAGTGATGTACGGCGGGAAGTCGAATCATGAGACTGGGACCACATTTTCCTTTTTATAGTCATCACAGGTCTGTAAGGGTGGTGGGGAAGGGGCATGGGATAGGGAATGCATAGTCGCCAGGGAAGGGCAGCCATACCCACGCCAATTAACTGTCAAGGGAAGGGGCGTGTTTGAGAGGAGTTGGTCAGCCATCAGTGTATCTGAACACAACCAATCCACCATGCGGGTTACTCATGCCTCTGTCCCGTCTACATGTGATATCCCCTCATACCACTCATCGTCTCACATTCCCCATGCCCTCACCCTGGCCGTGAGGACTGCTGGCCGGAGTGAGGCTTGGCTGCATACCAATAATCCCTAAGTGCCAAGGGCGGTCACAACGTCAGCCGAATGCAGACGCCTCCGCTTGCGACGCCCCCTTTTCTTTACTCATCTTAGCTGCTCGCCCATAGAATAAGCCGCTTCAGCCTACTTCCCTGCCTCCCCTTCCTCCCCTGCCTCCCCTGCCTCCCCTGCCGTCTCCCGCAGAGCAAAGCCTTCTCCCGTGATAATATTTCTCCGCGCTCCAAGAACGCTCCCTCCATTATGGGATGCCGACCATTGTTTGTGTTTCTGCCTTGAGGGTTTACTCTAGCGTTTCACTTAGCAAAGGCGATCTCGGGGTTCGTTCAGTGATGGCAGGATGGTTGCTTGGATGTGGATACATGCTTGCGATATGCGTTCACAGCCTTGTCTAAGCTGGTTGGTCAGTTTGTTGTCTTTCCGTGTTTGTTTATCAAGAGGCTCAGTGGGGTTGCCGAGTTGTGTTTTTTTCTACACACACACACACACACACACGCACGCACGCACGCACGCACGCACGCACGCACGCACGCACGCACGCACACACGCACACACACACACACACACACACACACACACACACACACACACACACACACACACACACACACTCACACACACACACACACACACGCAGACACACCCACCCACACACATATATACATACAGAGAGAGAGGAGAGGGAGAGGGGGAGAGGGAGGGAGAGGGGGAGAGGGAGGGAGAGAGGAGGGAGAGGAGAGGGAGAGGGGGGAGAGGGAGGGAGAGGGGGGAGAGGAGAGGGAGAGGGAGGGAGAGGGGGAGAGGAGAGGAGGGGAGAGGGAGGGAGAGGGAGGAGAGAGGGAGAGGAGGGAGAGGAGGGGAGAGGAGAGGAGGAGAGAGGGAGGGAGAGAGGGAGGGGAGGAGAGAGAGGGAGAGGGAGGGAGAGGAGGGAGAGGGAGGGAGAGAGAGGGAGAGGGAGGGAGAGAGGGGAGAGGGAGGGAGGGAGAGAGGGAGAGAGGAGAGAGGAGAGAGGAGAGGGAGGGAGAGAGAGGAAGGGAGGGAGAGAGGAAGAGGGAGGAAGAGAAGAAGGGAGGAGAGAGAGAGAGAGAGAGAGAGAGAGAGAGAGAGAGAGAGAGAGAGAGAGAGAGAGAGAGAGAGAGAGAGAGAGAGAGAAAAGGGCTGCTCCCCTCGTGACATCTGACTTTGTCATGTGGCGGCAAGAGGGCGTGATGTCACCCGTCCCCCTTCTCAGTGACAGAAGCGCCTTGGATGTCTTTGTGGGCATGCCATACACAGTATAAATAAACGCCAACGTATCCTTTCAGTTTTGTCTGAGAACACAGTATTTACTTTGCTACAGTTCGGGGATGTAAATCACATGCGAGAGTGTATGCGGATGTTTGTTAATGTATGTTGTGGGTGTGGCTTTAGAGCACATCATCGCCAGTGAGGCAGCAAGAAAGGAGGGACACCTTTCGTGTATTTATATATATTCTTTTTTTCTTTTTTTTACTTCCCTGACAGAAGGTAAAGATAATGCACTAACTTTTTTCAGTTGCCTTAACCACGGGCTTGGTCCAAGAACAATATGTATGCTTTCCTAGATAATATTATTCATTCTGATGTTTAGATGTTTTTACAAATAACAATTCGTATTCCTTGTCTATTTGAGAAACAGCCAGAGTGCTATGTACTTGTCCGTATTAATAAAATAGCTTTTTGATAAAAAATCATTGTCTGTGGAAATCGTTTGCAATAAGAAATAAAATGAATGTGTGTATCCAACACTCTTCTATAGAGAGTGGATGCCTATAGATGCATAAACAAATAAGTTAACAATCATACATAGCCATGCTTATAGGGAACTATTTACCGTAGTCACCGGTGTATATTTGCGTTTTCTCTTTTCTACGAAACCGTCAGTTTTCTTTTACACAGAGGCCAGACTTTACTATAACCACTGTGTTGGAATTTCTAAATTGGATATTATACCTCAACCTACAATTTGTAGATATTCCCAGGATTGATGGATGTGGTGATAATGATTTTGGTATTAACTGTAATTTTGTTGTTTACCTTTGCATTACCATTTTCAATATTATTCTTAGCGCTCCCCATTATTATTATTATTTTTAATGCTCCCCATTATAATTATTTTTTTTTTTAGTATTATCATTATTATCATTATTTCATCATTATTATTATAAATATCATTATTATTATTATTATTACTGCTACTATTATTATTGTTACTATTATTATTATTATTATTATTATTATTATTATTATTTTATTATTGTTATTATTATTATTATCATTATTATTATTATTATTATTATTATTATTATTATTATTATATTATTATTACTTTCATTATTATTAACGTTATTATTATTATTATTATTTATGTTATTGTTATTGCTATTATGCTTATTAATTTATTATTATTATTATTATTATTATTATTATTATTCTATTCTTATTGTATGTATCGTTATTATTATTATTATCACTATTGTTGTTATTATCATTATTATTATCATTATTACTTTTATTATCATAGTCATTATTATTATTATTGTTATCATTCATTACGGTTATTATCATTATTATTATTGCTGTTATTATTGCTCTTATTATTATTTTATTGTTTTTGTTGTTGTTCTTCTTACTACTATCACTACTACTACTATCATTACCATTATTGTCATTGTTATCATTCATATAATTATCATTTTATTACAATTATTGTTATAATTTTCATTATTGTTGTTATTATTTCCTCTGTTATATTATTTTTTTGATTATGACTATATCATTATTGTTATTGTTTCTGTTGCTATTATCATTATCATCATCATTGTCATCATCATCATTGTTATCCATGATCATCTTCATGATGATGATGATGATGATGATTATCATTATTGTTATTGTTTCTGTTGCTATTATCATTATCATCATCATTGTCATCATCATCATTGTTATCCATGATCATCTTCATGATGATGATGATGATGATGATGATTATCATTATTATTATTATTAATAGTGTTGTTTTGTTATTATTTTATTATTTTATTATTATTATCATTATTATTATTATTGTTATTATTATTGTTATCATTATCATTTTATTTATATTATTTTCATTGTTATTATTGTTATTATTATTATTGTTATTATTATTATTATTATTACGATTGATATAACAAGTATAATGTAAAAATTATTGCAGTCACCATTCCCATAGAGCTCACTTTCACAGCGTTATTTCCGTCAGCGAAGGGCCAGGCAGCGCTCCCAGCCGTGAAGACGTCTCCTTCCTTCCCCTTGACTTCCCTTCTTCCAGATATTTTGTTTTGCCATGAAATTTTGTTTCTTTTCATTGCTGTTTTATGATTTGATATGATTTTCCCCATAAACCCATTTCTGTTCTGATTCCCATTTCCGTTGAGTTGCCCGCCCTCTACTCAAGCCGTTTCCCTGAGCATGCTCGCCCGCCGCCTGACCGCCTTCTCCCTCCCAGACCCTCCAGGAGTCGGAGCGGAAGCGCGCCGGGGAGCTGCGGCGCCTGCACGAGGAGCACGAGGCCGCCGTCGCCCGCATCCACAGGGCCAATAAGAGCGAGGTCGCGCGGCTGGTGAGTCAGCGACGGAGGAGGAGCTGGTGGAGCAGGAGGTGGAGGAGGAGGGGTGGTTATCTGTGCTTTAAAAATATTTTTTTTTTCGTCTCATTTTTTTTCAAAAGGCTTTTTATGTGTTTTTATTTATTTTGGCGACGTCTTCTGTGTTTGGCTTTTGTCGTAGTCGTATTTTTTGAGCGCTGTTTGACGGGGCTTTTTTCCCGCAGTAGCTCGTAGTGTGTAGTGGGTGTCGTAGAAGGCTTCTTATTCTAATTTTCTTTGCTTCTTATAAGCTCACATTCCCTTTGTGCTCCTACTCCTGGTTCTTTCTGAACTCTGCCCTGACCTTGGCCATCCGAAAGCCTACAAGGTCACTGACACCTGTTCGTCTGAACAACTTTTTTCAGGTCTCTTTCGTCTTATGATAACAATTTTTTTCTCGTTCTCTCTGTCTCTCTCTCTCTTTCTCTATTTCTCTCTCTCCCTCTCCCTTCTCTCTCACTCTCCCTTCTCTCTCACTCTCCTTCCCTTCTCTCTCTCTTTCCCTTCTCTCTTTCTCTCTCTCTCTCTCTCTTTCCCTTCTCTCTCACTCTCTCTTTCCCTCTCTCTCACTCTCTCTTTCCCTTCTCTCTCTCTCTCTTTCCTTTCTCTCTCTCTCACTCCCTTCTCTCTCTCCTCTTTCCTTCTCTCTCTCTCTCTTCCTTCTCTCTCACTCTCTCTTTCCCTTCTCTTTCTCTCTCTTTCCTTTCTCTCTCTCTCTCTCTCTCTTTCCCTTATCTCTCTCTCTTTCCCTTCTCTCTCACTCTCTCTTTCCTTCTCTCTCTCTCTCTCTCTCTCTGCTTGCCTATGTAGATTGTAATAATACATTAAGTGTAAGATTTGAAGAGGAGAAAACCAGTAGCCTCGCCTGCAGGAGGGAGCGCGCGGCGGCGAGGGAAGTGCAACCTGTGGAACTAACGATAGCGTTGTCTCCTTCTCAGCTGGACGAAGTGCGCTCCAAGGACCGCTCGATTGGCCAGCTGGAGCGCCAGCTGAGCGCCCAGTCCGCCAAGATCCGGCTTCAGGAAGAAAAGGTCAGTAAAGCCTCCTCTATTCAGCATTTTCTTTGTGTAGGTCTCCTGCATCGTTTAATTTGGCTTCTAGCGTTAATGACTGCGAATCGAGTCTTCTCCTTTCAAGTCCATAAACTTGACCGACGTCATTCATGATATTGATGTTCGGTCACCGCTTTCTCAAAGGTAAAAAGTTTTAAGCGTTTACAAGCTCCTATAGAAGGTTCAGATAAATTCGTTAACATTCACATATTATTTTGTAAAATATTGATTTATGACTATGATTTGGAGTTCCAATGTTTGTGATAATGGTAGCGAGTTGTTTGGAATTCAAGCGCGAATTTAGGTTATGAAAATATCATAATTCTGGCTTCCCGGATACGTTAGAAGCGGCCACCAAAGCATTCGTAGGGCTTCGCATCCCGGTAATGAGAGGCAGTGCAACCTCATTCACTCTAAGCCTATATGTTCTCCTCACTGCAAAACAATACTTCTGCTATTACTGGTAATAATACTACAGTGTCATTAGTGTAACGGGCATATACCCAGCTCAAGTTTGGCCATTCTGTGGGCCATCCCTAGCAAAAGATCAGAGATAGGTGATGTTTCGTCAAAAGTCATAGTGAAAGGATTCAAACATCGTTTAAAGAAGAGGTTACACCAAGCAGCAGTCATTCCCTGCACGACTACACCATACTGGTATAGTCCTAACCAGTGTTGAAAAATCCACGGCAAAATCGACACCAAATCTTGGCCAGCATCAGGTCGTAGGCCGAGCGGAGATTCCGGCCAGGCGATAGGAGGCAGCAGGTCGCGGGCCACACTGGATCGTCGAATCGCTTCGGTTCTCGACCTAAAGTGGGTCACGAGCAAGAGTTGCCACGTACCCCTCGTTGGGAGGGTTTCCCGCGTGCCCATACCCTACTCCCTGGCATTAATTGGCCTCCCATGACCAGCAAAATATTGATCTCCTCCACAGAAAAGCTTCGTAACGGAGACTTGGTGAATGGGTTATCGAGGAGGAGGAGGAGGCGGTCAACGCTGCGCTCGAGGGGCCGAAGTGCTCGCTCTTGCAACGTGACTTGGAGGTCCACGTGGTTCTGGGCGCTCGGGCGGGCGCCTGAATGAATGTTTTCTCTGGGACAAACGCCTGTTTTCATAGCCGCGGTACTCGAATAGACACTACTATAAATACGATACTGGATTGAACTCTATTTCGGATATCAATTTGAATGAACATTTTTTTTTCTCGAAATGCCCCGGGAACGGACGATATTGACTAGAATACCTGAATATTAATTTTCTCGCCGTAACTCATAATGCATAGGTCCCGACACTGGATTTTTGAATGAGATTCAGTTAAACAAAACGCGAAGGGGAGACAAGGGGAACAGGGAAAGGCTAGTTATGTTGCAGAAAACACTGATGGCATTATTAACTTTGATATTAAAAGGGAATAATAGAATAGGTGCTGGTGTTGTCGAAAGGTGTCGCAAGTCCCTGTTTGTGCACCTGTGTCAAAACGATGAAATCCTAAAAGAGACAGTAATAATAGTAATTGTACAGAGGAAGAAAGGACAAGGAAAATGCAATAGATAAAGAGATACGAAAATAGAACGATGCAAAAAGCGAAAGAAATGGATTCTCCTCATATACGATAAGGTGTATTAAGACTGTATCCACAGATGTCCTAGTCTCAAATATAAAGCAGTAACGCTCGATAGCAGCGGCCATGTCCAGCTTGGGAATAATATTTTTAATGCGATCAGACTGCATCTCGGTTTTATTTACCTTGTGGCTTGGCATAATCCACGAGTTGGGTCGGATTGGCTTGGCTTTTATGTAGGGTCTTGAAATTGATCGAAATCCGGTTTGTAGGGCACATGAACTCCATGGATTCATTTCATACAAACCGGATTAACTTGAATATTGTAAGTATGTAAAACAATATGGATGAGTAGGTCAAAATATCATTAGGGAAGTACTTTATCCATAAAGGAGCATTCGTGGGAAACCTGCGGGAATAAGACTGCAAATTGGTGACTCGGATAATTCATGCTACAAGTTTGTGAACGTATCACGAAAAGCTTCATTAAAAAAAAAAAAAAAAAAAAAAAAAAAATCAGAGTAAAACGGATTTTCCCCCCAAAACAATGCAATGCTGAAAACTTAATGGTCACGCTTCATACGATGTACTATTCGTGATGTTACCACCGGTCCCGCCCAACGAACATGTGACAGGGAACTATAAATCTGGAAACTGTTCACCATTTCTTCCTTCCGTCAAATGACTGCATTCGGGGCGGCAGATTTGGCGTGGCGGCGTCGCCGAGGACCACCGCAGGAGGCAGAACGGACCTCCTACGAACACGGCCCCGCAGGGAGGCCTGGGAGCGCGCTGGAGGACCGGAAAGCATATAAAAGCTGTCATTGTTCAGACTGGCATCGAGGAAGATGGAGGACATATTACTTATCATACTAATGATAGAAGAGATTAGATGAGGTAAAGAGCTTTCTGTTATTGATGTTCAAAGATAGGAACATTGGGAGTGATGGTTTATCGGATGAGAAAATAGAATCAATTCAGCTCATACCTGAAATCTTCAACCGCATTCCCAATGTTAACTGCATCAGGGAATGAACCACTCTTGCAACAAGCAGAGCGCACAAACCACCTGGAAGCAACAAGGACAGGCGATCAGTGTCAGTTGTATGAAAGCGACATCTGTTCTCATGAAACCGGACACCGAAATGGTTCTCAGAGAATTAGATTTTAGCCGTCGACCGGGCGCACTTGTCGCCGCACCTGGATTTCTCCCTCGCATGCTGATATCCGATCTCATGCTCTGACCTCCTGTTCTTGAAAAAAAAAAAAAAAACTCTGTCACGGTCTCAAATTGTGGTCCCGGCGAGATACATAAGAGAGAGCGACTGCAGGGCTTGAGCACAACTTTCATTGATATATCCGCGGAACTGCCAAACAACCTGTCAGACAGGAGGAACGGGAGATCACGCTAGTTAGGGGTAGAAAGTGCAGCGAAATGAGACTTTCATTTTGCAATTTCAGCTTTGAGTTTACTTATTATCGTGGATAATGGCACGATTGTGCTTACAGACGAAGACACTGAGATTCTTTAACGTCCTTTGTCATTTGATTAACAACATGCTATCGGCTGTTCCATTCTGCGTTCCCGCATAACCTTGGCCTGGGCATGGCTACCGCACCAGTTTTTAAAGTATTTTAATACGTAGCGAGACGCCAGTGCCTCGTACCGCTGATGTATGCGTATCACGTTGATGTAAACAGATGAGATTACATTAGCGAGCGGGACGAGTGCGGCATTCGTTTATCAAGACCTTGGGCGTTATTTATGGACGTCTTGCGATGTTTCGTGCGCGGCACCTAACTAATGGTGATGGGAGGTAATGTACACCGTGATTAACGTCTGTATTATACAGCTCTGTCAGTCCGCGTTTTATACATCACTCAAATATACTTGTATTGTTCCCTCTTACCTGTCATGCAAACAAGGTTGAAGACAAACATCGTTACCTTTACGAATTTGCTTATTTATTTTTGCATCCAGACAGCCATACTGGGGAATGATAACGGCAAATTAACTGTTCGCATCAGTTCACTACTTTATTAATATTGATATCATTCCATTTCTTTAGATTTATTTCAGATTTTTTAATGTGTTTACCATAACGAATAAGAATGCCTTTGGAGGTTATTGATATAGATTAAAAGATGAAGAATTTAGGAAAAGTAGTGGCCGTAACCATGTTCACATTCTTGTAGGTTTGACTTATTATCGTGTACTACTTTATACCACGAGTAAATTGAAGAAA